AAATGTATTACACTTCTATGCAAAGGCGCTTCTAACGCAAAAACTTCTCCGAGGTGTTACTCACATGCGATAAAACTTCTTTCGCACAAAAACTCGATGCAACACCACATCTACAACAAGGACTTCTGAAGCGCAAACTTCTACCCGACAAAACTGCCAACGCAAAAGCTTCTTCGGAGCATTGCTTGGAGGATCCACCGTTCGGTAATGGGAGCCCTGACTGGTACAGAACCATTCATTGCCTCCATTTAAATAGTCACCATAAGCCCTCGTGCTTTCTTTCATTGTCAAAGGCCATTGACAAACGCAAGAAGAAAACCAGAAGTTTATTCACCCAAAAAGGTTCGAATTAAATCTTAAAAAGGAGACCTTTGTCATTCTAGGTCCGCCTTCGTCCCTGCAAAGCAAAGATTTCCCTGACCGACTCGAGGCCCCTTGTTGACACAGAATATCCTGTCAGGCACTGTGGCCCCTGAAGGATACAAAAGCCCCGCATTGCTGCAGGGGCCCCGGACCCCGACCAATCTGAATCGCGGACCCGGCCGTATCCCTGCTTGACCCCCAGAGCTCCGACCGACAGGGAGCCGACTGTTCGATGTTGGTGATCTCTGGCCGAAATAGAGGAACGCTCTGCCTTAGGAGTCCCCAATCAATACAAGAGGGCCTCTAACTGACATTTGAAATCACAGCCCCAAGCGAGAGTGGTAGGTGACCTTCAGCCAGACTTTCCGACTCTTCAGCCTTGTCTTTTGGCGCCACCGCCTGACTCCCCGCTCCATTCTTATGGCCAGTTTAAGCTGGGAGATTGCTTGACCTTCAGTATAACATACCATATTTCTTCTGAGACGCTAATTTCTGACTGTGTCAGGTCACCAAGGCTTGGGTTCCCGTGACTTCGCCTTTAAAGGTCTGTGGTTAGAAAATGTCGGACATTGGTACTCCGCCATGCTGGTCGATGTGTGCTTGCTTGCAAAACATAAAACATGGGTATTTCGCTGTACTAAGTGACGGATTCCTGGCGCTACCTGTGCAGGCCCTACTGTCTGGTGGTTTTCGAGGTGCCAAAGTGCTGAGGTGCGTGAAGTTGGCGAGTTATTCAGGGATGTATTTAGCAAAAAGCTCCGATTTTGCTGGAAATCCGTCAGATGGTCAATCATGGCGCGAGAACACAAAAAGACACTGTTTTCCAATCTTTCAATGCAGTATCATGTGAACTCCAAGACTAAAAGGAATGTCAAAGGGGGGGGGGGATAACGGGGAAGTCTATATCACCAAAACATTACCGGCCGATTCAAACTTTTCAAGCACCAGAACATTCATCAGCTCATGAACAAGCGTCCGTCAAAAAGTCCTGACCTATCAAGGTAGTCCCTCAAGGTCAAACTCGGACTGAACTGACGGTAACTCCCCATCACCAAAAACTTGCCGGTCGATCTGAAGTTTTTGAGCATAAGGATATTCACAAGCGCAAGAAGTAGCTTTGACACGAATCCTGACCCCTCAAGATCACCGTTCAAGGTCAAATTTTGACTCCAAGGACGGGGAACTCCATGCCACCAAAACTTACCCGTCGATTTCAACTTTGCATGTACCAGAATGTTCACCGCAGAAGAAACTAGCGTTCGTCTAAACATCCTGACCTTTCGAGGCTATCCTTCAAGATTAAACTAAGGCTAAATAGCTGGGAAATGCATATCACCAAAAAATACCGGCCGATTTTAAGTTTCCAAGCATAAGAGTATTCAAGAGCGCAAGTACCAGCGTTCGTCAAAAAATCATGAATTCTTAAAACCTGAAATTTACCTTACCTCAAATTGGAAATCGTCATTTGACCTTAGCATGAGCTTGAAGGGTAACCTCAAGGCGTCAGAGCTTTTTGACGGAACGTTACTTCTGTGGTGACTTTTCTGATGATTAAAAGTTAAAATTGGATGGTAATTTTTTGATGTAATGGATTTCCCGGCGTTTGAGCCTAAATTTGATCTCCAACAGTAACCCTGCGAGATCCGGAATGGTTGACAGACACTAAATCTTGGGGTTGTGAATATTCTGATCCTTGGAAAGCCTATATCGGCCGGTTACTTCCCGGAGACATTGAGTTATCCGTCTTTTGAGCGTGAATCTAATCTTGCAAGGTGACCTGGAAAGGCCATAATTTTTACGGACGCTAGTTTCTTCTGTGGTGATATATTCCAGTGCTTGAAAATTTAAAATCGGCCATCAATTGTTCCGCATGGTATGAAGGTCTCCATTATTTGATCCTGATTTTGACCTTACAGTCACATGATATTGCAAAGTAAATGCTAGTTTTCATGGTTTCGTGCCATAGTTGACCATCTGACGTGTTTTCATAGAAACCGGAGCTCGTCGCTGAATAAGTCGTTGAATAAATCGCGAACCTCATATCCTTGGAAGGTACTGAATGCAGTTCCTAAGTGTAGACACGTTGCCAGCTTTAGCTTTTTGCTTACAGATCTAGAATGACCTTCGTGTCTTGGTGAATTAGCAAAATTTGTTGTTCAGGCATTTTAAGTCGTCAAATCGTTGTGCAGTTAACGATTTCCGACGCTGGTCTGGATGTCCAAAAACAAGGAAACCATAGTTTTTGTTTCATTGCACTAGAGCACTAGCTAGTGCCATCCACTTTCCGACTAACAGCGGGCACTATTTACCCAACGTGTTATTATCGAAATATGTCACCAAAAACATGAATGTAGTGTTTCTGGCGCCAAAATGCTCTGTCAATGCAACTCAGGTCTTGTTTAAGGCAGCGAATATATATATGTATATATATGTATATATATATATATATATATATATATATAGATATAGATATATATAGATAGATAGATAGATAGATAGATAGATATATATATATATATATATATATATATATATATATATATATATATATATATATAGACATTTGGAGATATGATTGCTTCATTTTTCTGAAGGTGACATGGCATGTATGAAAAGCCATGCGACAGTCGTAAAAACCAACCTTTTTTGTTTTGTTCCGTCATTTGGCCTTTATCGTGCTTTCAGATGTGACTTGTTAAAAGTGCACAGTTCAGATTACGTAACAATAAGCCGCCACAGAGGTTTTAGAAGCTGCCAGTCGGCAGTTACAGACTGCATATATTGAGGCATTCGCCAAACACATGCAAAGCGTTCATTGCACTCAGGCGTCCTCTCAGCGCCAGCTCAGAATTGATAACGGTGGACCCAAAGATATTGAGAATCCGTCCACCATCCGACTGTAAGGTCTAGAGACAAACTGCGACCAAAACAAAGCTGTCTTCAAATGGCGGATTACGGATATGGCCTTAATAGTCCGATTTTAACACCTCACCTCTGGAATCCAAGTCTTGAAAAAATCACAAGATAGGCCGTAAGACAATAAGTATACCGTTTAAACATTGTTTATCAGTGCATTGGCGCAGATGTAGTGCTTGGTCGCAGATTTCATCCCACAACTTCGACGTGTTTTGTCACATCTATGCGCGGTATTCAAGTTCATCCTTTGATATGGACATCTAGAAGAAAAAAGAAAAAAGAAAAAGAAAACCAATGAAAACATTGAAAACATTCTATGGCAATGCATTAGAGCACAGCTTAGTCCAGCCTCACTCCTCATCCCATCGCAAGCGCGAGTGACACAGCATGTTAATGTACATGACCGAAAACTTCCTATCAGTTTCTGTGCCGTCCAGGCCCGCCTCGATGGTCTTATTATCCATGTGGGCTTTCGCAACCAAGTGATCTTACCTCGCGCTCGGGTGTCGAGACATGGACTGGCTCACCGAAGGTTCTTCCCGAATTATTTCCGAATGGCTTAGCGTGTCCGGGCCAAATTTTACGTAGCTGTCGACAATTGCATAGTTAATTGTTTGGCATCAATAATTTTATGTACCTTATCAGGTCCCTGGCCTATGGCACGTTAGCTTCAGGTCATGGATTCAAAGAAGACAATTTCTAGAGAATCTTCAATCTGATGCAACAGCGGAGTGTTTTCACGAATAGACAAATGCATATCTGATATAGTTTCTTAGGCAACACAGCAGCTGAGTTCATAAGTTCCATTGACCTGGGGTCAGGGATAAAGGCTGGACCAAGGCCAAAACCAGCCTGTTCAATCGCTCTACAGCTTGCTTTATAAAATAGTTTCTGGTGCTCGTTTTAAATTTATTGGTAACAGGAACCACATTTATATCTCGCATGAACTTCTTAAAGGTCAGAAAAGGTCACTGACTTAAAATGACTCGGTCAACAATTTGGTTTTAGGAACATACTACCTAGCGTGATTCCTGATGCTTGCTCAAATGCAACAATGAAAGCGGTATTGTATTATTTAAGTCACTATGACTTATGGCTTGCTAATGTGAGAAGGACTGGGGCATTTTTAACACCAAACTAGATTTTGACCTTGTATGACCTCATGTGACCCGATGGTCAAAATCTAGGAACCTATCTGGGTACAGGCAACTAGCGGACAAGCAACCACACTCTGAATTTCGTATCTCTAACTGTCTTCATTTCTGAGATGGCGTAGGGGGGGGGGGGCTCGGGGCAAACTGGCCCTCGCCACCCGAGCAAATTGTATTCAAATGGCCACCCAGGGACGTTTTAACCAAATATGCCTGACATTGCCGCCGCCATTGCCGTTCCGTTGGACGGAACGTGTTAAAAAAAAAGACGGAGGTTGCCATAACACGGAAAGAAAGTGCAGCGAGGCGAGACTTGATCCCGAGTCGCCCATGTGAAAGGCATATGACTAGCATGCGAAACCGCGTCGACTTTTAAAAAAATAGACAAAAAAGCGGTGATACACAAGCGGCATAATGTACGCATATTAGTGCCTCAACTATGTTTACTGAAGAAGAGGGATACTGTGCACCCGGATTAGCAAGTAGTTTTTGCAACCACTTCTCAACGCCCACCTACCCGCCTGGCACAATACAGAGGCAAGCTGGCCAGCTGTAGACCGTATGGGCGGCCTACCCTCTTTTGCGCGCCCCGCAGCAGGCACAGACGAGACAGTCGACCAGCTCGACGATCGTGAGCAGCGAGCCGCCGATCATGAGGCCCAGGCTGCCGCCCACGTCCGAGAGGAACTGGTCCAGCGGGTAGGCTACCGCCTGCTCGGTCTTCAGAAGGGTGGTGCTAAGCCATAGCGTCAGTTCGGTGATGACACCGCTGGCCGGTCGCCGGCGCGGCGCGTCCCCCGGCGCGCGTGTCTCGTCTATGTTGACGCGGTACGGCGTGCTGCTGACGTACTCGTCCCACCGGCACGGAAAGCGGCAGCCGCAGGAGGCGCTGACCACCGCCATCAGCGACTCGTTGAATGAGCTGAGCTCGTCCAGACCAGACGCGTTCTTGAACTGCTGGTAGGTGGTGCAGGGGGGCTGGTTGGCAGACGCCGATATCCATGGCACGTGGCAGGAGGGGCGGTCGATGCCGGCCTTGCCGAACAAACACCGCTCCAGGCAGGACTGCGCCGCGTTGCTCGGCTGCTCGCTGCATGCGTTCCCGTCGGGGAGCTGGCTGAAGGCGTTTGTCGTCAGCTTGACGGAGATGGAGCTGTTGACGTACAGCTTGATGTGCGTCACGACACCGGTGAACAGCGCGAAGTCGTCCAACTGGACGCTGTGCTCGTGCACAAACAGACTCCAACCATCATGCTCGAGATCTGCGAAGCTGCCTGCCTCACTGAGCACCAGGTTCAGCTGGCCGGAGAGCATGCTCCTACCGACGGTGGTGTTGGTGCGCAGTGTGGCGCAGGCGCCCAACAGCGGCGTATGCACCGGCCGTATGGTTCCCAAGTCTGAGCAGTTGACATTGCCGATAGTGCACTTGGTCACCATGTCCTCCCACTTGTAGTTGGCGGCAGCGAAGAACTCATCCAGATTGTAATCATCCCAATCCAGCAGCGAGAACGCAGGCGCATCGTTGTTCAGCCAGTCCAACAGGCTCACTCCTGGAAGGCTCATCTTCTCCACCGCCTCCTTCTTGAACTTGTTGTTGTGACAAATGGTGAGGGCGGGCACCCTAACCTTGTCCAACATCTGGCGAGAAAACTTCCAGCTAGTGCCGCCGCGCGCCAGCCGCCGCATTGGGCTGCAGAGCTGCGCCACCAGCGCGGTCAGCAACGCGACCAGCACCAGCAGCCAGAGAAGGCGGCGCGGCCAGCAGGCCAGCGGGCTCAGCACGATCGAGACGCCGGTGGTGCTGAGCTGACCGGGTGGCAGCCATCGCGGCTCTGGGCCCAGCGGCGCTGCCGCCGCCGCCGCTTGCCAGCAACGGTCTGGCACGGAGCCGGCCGTCGAGCCCACCCGATGCTTCTGCGGGGCCGACATCAGCGGCAAACCGACTGGCCAGAGAGCTCGGAGACCTCACAGACCTCGGAGGGACACTTCTGCGCCTTTTTCGGGGTTCAACAACGCCTCAGACGACCAGGATAAGCCGAAAAATTCAACGACAGTCTCCAGTCAAATCAGTTAACAATTGGGTACCTTCACGTGACCCGGATGGCAGTTCTCCGCAGTGAAGACTTTCCACCTCTGAGCTTGTGGCCCGGGCCCAATAGACTCCATTCGTGTTGGCACTGCACCGCTGGCCTGCGTTGTTTGGGCCCTGGCCACCTCGATACCGACACAACAGGGCGGAATGGAACGACCGCGTGGCGTGCCTGCGAGTATAATGTCTCGAAATCCGCCGTCGGTCATAACGATAGGAAATGGTGCTAGTCCAGGTGGAAAACCGGGCCAGTAAAACGGGCATCGATAGTTTTTGCGATGCCCTGTATTAAAAACAAAAAGCAAACACTTCTCGACGAATCAGGATGTATAGCGCTGAGCTTTAACACCATGCATTTCTCACCAGACATCACAATAACGCTCCCATGCTCTCGCCGTCTGTAGCTCACCGCAGTTCTGCTGCGGCCAATAGAGATTGTCTGAATACATCGTGATCCATATTCCATCATCGTTGGTATTTCAGCGTCACTGAAAATAATAAGCTGTGCATGTCCAGCACGCATTGGTCATTGGAGGTCATGGCACAATCCAGATATGCCAACACTGAAATTATACGTCGTGCAGCAATGCAAGAGCGCGCTGTCCAGTATGTAACATACGACTGGCCGGCAGGCACCAGCGCCCGCTCGCAGGCGACGCCGCCGCCGTCGCTGGATGGCCGTCCGCGGCCCTGCAAGCCGCGTCTGGGGGACCGGCCGCGGGCCGTCGGCACCAAACCGTCGGCACGGCGAGGCTCCACATCTGCACGGCTCGTCAGTGTTCCAGACATTGGTCTTTGGATTATCTTTGTAACAAGTTGCACTGACTGATACGGTGCCCGTCATCTCCGCCGTCCCCTGACTGATACGGTGCCCGTCATCCCTGCCATCTCCTGGTTGATACGACGTGCATCCTCCCCACCGTCCCCTGACTGGTACGGTGTACGTCACCCGGTATTTGGGTGACATCAGTGGAGCCCATTCGGCGAGGGTCGGCCGAATACAATGGATGTTCTTATTGGACAAGTGTGGCATGCGGGCAGCTAATAGCCCTTCACCAGCGCTAAGGTATGCACACAGCGACACTCTGCGACACTGAAGTATGTTTCCGCGCTTTTATTTTTCTGGGCATCACGGTGCAGCAATGCCAGCAGCAGTTGGGAACTTTGCGACAAGGGGGGATTTGAACAAAATAGATCTCGTGTGCCAATGAACAATTTACTTGCCGGCCGAGGGTGATTCCACCGCGACATCGAGGCAACACGGCAACACTCTACGCACACGGCTAAAAATATTGAAACTGGACGCCATAACTTGGCAAAGCGCCCATGCACCCTTCTGGCAAGCATTCAGGGGACCACTGTAGGGAGGTCAAACGAATAAAAATGGCTCCTTAGTCGGACATGTGTGTCGTACTGGCAGCTTATAGCCGTGTAGCAGCGCTATGGAATGTACTCAGCAGCGCTTTTCGCGCGTAATTTTTCACGTGCCGCTGTCTATTTGCAATCACGGTCCCGTCGGGGCAGCAGCAATTAAGAATTCTCCGGAAAGGGATTCATTAAACAGAGGTTGCTCTCGGCCGAAGAGCGTTCAACATTGCGGGCCGCTAGGGCTTCCTCACCGACATCGCATAAACATGGTCGTATCGGTCGCACACGACTAAAAGTACTTTAATTTGGACGCCGCATCTTTGCATATCGCTGCATCGATCGGCCGGTCAGAAATGAGTTAAAGGCTGTCGATCGGCCGGTCAGAAATGAGTTAAAGGCTGTCGGGCGGGCGACGAAATACAAGGGATACTGTAATCGAACGAGTGTGGCGTATTTGTCGATGGTAGCCTTGAGGCAACGCTATCGAATACAGACAGTCTGGCGCGATTATATTTTTTTTTCTCGTTGTCGTGTTCTAGCAATCACGCCTTGGGCAGGCCAGCTACAGCTAGCAATGCTCCGTCAAGGTTGGACTGATGAGCGATTTACCTCCCCGACTGATAGTGCTCCGACGAAAGCATCGAATGCAGATGGTCGCACCAGCTACACAGGACAAAAGGCATTTAAACACGCGCTCGGGTGGGGGCCAATTTGACTCCGCGAAGGTTGTTCCGGAGTGGTTCCCGAACGGCGCGACGTAGCCGTGCCAAATTTTGCATGGCTGTACACAATTGAAAAGCCGATCGTTTGGTTAAAAAGATGTAAATGTACCTTGTAATTTCGCTGACCTATGGCAGGTAGAAGTCAGGCCACTAGGGCTTGCTGTATAAGGTAGTTTCTGGTCTTCGTTTCGAATTTATTGGTAATGGGGACCGCATTAGACATCTTCCATGTGCCTCTTAAAGGTGAGAATAGGCAACTGGACTAAGATGACCCAGGTCAAATTTTATTTTTGGAACATGCTGCCTAGTGTAATCTTTGTACCTTATTCAAATGCAGAACTCAAAGCAGTCTTGCATGATTTTGGTCATCATGGTCTTGAAACGGTCAAACAGGGTCAATGGCCTTAAATTAACGTGCTACATTTTGTTAAGAAGAGGTATGTAGGTTATAACGTCACTTTGGAAAAGAGCCTGGAATTTGACCTTGTTTGACCTTATTTTGCCCGAAGGTCATGATATAGGAACGTCAAACTTTGACCTAAGTGAGTTCAGGTACAGATTAACACACCTTGTGAATTTTGTGCCTCTAGCTCGCTTAGCTCCTGAGACCTCAGCTTGGTCAAAGTGACCCCCACCCGAGCGAAAGTGACCCCCACCCGAGCGAAAGGCATCCAATCGGCCAGCGGTGCGTGTGCTCAAACGTCCGTCCGGGTGGCCGTAAAACGTCCGTCCGGGTGGCCGTTGGAATACTTTTCACTCGGGTTTGGGTGGGCGTGGCAAGAATTTGACCCCTGCCACATGAAAGGAAAACTAGAAACACCAAATTTACAGAATCAGTTCGCTTGTATCTCAACTCAGTCGTGTCATGATTTTAGGCTCCTATGTCATGATTTTCGAGTCAAATCAGGTAAAACAACGTCAAACTCCAGTTTGGTGTCACGGTGCCCCACAAATTATCATGCAACTCCTTGAACAAAGATGCTTGCTCTAAGCAAAAGGTCGTTGGTGTTCACTTAAGGTCAGTGACTTTGTTTAACCGTAGGAAGGTCGAGGTGACCACAATCCAACGTCATTGTTTTGATTTTTCATTTGAATAAGCGTCAAGGATTACGCTTGGCGGTATATTCCTAAAATCAAAATAGTGACCTGGGGCGTTTTAGGTCAGTAGTTTACAACGTTTAGGAAGTCCATAGAACATGTCTGTTGTGGTTCCTGGTGTTAATAAATCTGACAGAAGTGTCAGAAACTATCCATACAGCAAAGGCTCGAGTAAAACGCCAGCTGATTGGACCTCGGTCTGGCCTTCATGCCTGGTCCTAGGCTTATGAAATGTTTTGCAATCTTAATTTAAATTGTTTTATTGCCTACGAAACTATCGAAGGGTTGCACTGGTTCGTCTAACACCCCGTCGTGACATCAGATTTAACGATTCTCTTAAAATTTCCCTCATTGATGGCCAACGCCTGCAGCTGACTTGTCATAGGTCAGTGACCCTACAAGGTATACCTGTTTTACACCAAGAGATATGCTATCCGATTGCCTACAGCCATGCAAACTCTGACGCGGCTACGTCTCGCCGTTCGAAGTCACAGGGCATTTAAAGCATACGCCTATGCTGTATGCACGCTGTGGAGGCATGCTGTGGATGGAAGTTGGCAAGCTATTCAGCGATGTATTCAACGGTGAGTTCCGAGTTCTCTAAAAACACGTCAAATGGCCAATTATGGTACGAAAACGCAAAAATGGCATTTAGCTTAGAAAATTATTTAGCTCTCAAGGTCAAAGCAAGGTGAAAATGCTGACAGTGTCCGTCAAAAACTCACGACCTCTCAAGGCACCTTTCAAGTTCAAATGCAGGTTTAAAAGACGGGGAACTCCATATCACCCAAAACATACTAGCCGATTTCAGCTTATCAGACACCAGAATATTCATTACCGCATGAAATAGCAGCCGTCAAAATGTCCTTAGCTCTCGAGGGTGTCTTTCAAGATCAAAATAAGGCTTAAATGACGGAAACTTCATATCACCAAAAAATTATTTGCCGATTTCAACTTTTCAGGAATAGGAATATTTATCAGTGCCTGAACAAGCATCCGTCAAAGGCCAGACCTTTCAAGGTTACCAATCAAGGTCAACCTAAGGCTTGAACTACGAAGATTCCAAAATCGCCAAACAATTACCCCGCTTTTTGAAATTTGCAAGAGCAAGAATATTCACTATGCAAGAAACAAGCGTCCGCCAAAAATAACTGACCTCCCAAAGCTATTCGTCAAAGTCAGTCACGCTCAATTTGACGTAGGCCGGCCGCTTTTTGTGACATAGGATTCTCCGCCCTTTGAGTCTGAATTTGAACTTGAGAGGCGATTCATGCGTCAAAACATTTTGACGGGTGCTAGTTCATGCACTGGTGAATAGGCTGATGCTTTAAAAGTTGAAATAGACCGGTGGTTTCTTTTTG